TGACTGCGATCCTCGCCTGCGTACCACTAAGTCACAGCGACAAACTTAGGGTCGCAGGCGAGAGCCTCAGACTTAGTGGTCGCAGGCGAGAATCGCAGTCATAGTGGTCGCGAGACCCGGTCGCAGGCATCGTGGTCGCAGTCTTGACAAATGTGTGCAGACTACAGTGTGCACTGCACACTGCAGATTGCACACTGCACTGTGTAAAAAGTATTATGTTCCTTTGAAACGTTTTTTTACCACCAAAGTCTATATTCACATAGCAGAGACACAATACGCAAACTCAGTACGCGTTCAGAACGCGCGTTAATAATTTATTTTTATTGCCTGATATGTCAATTTGCAAGTGGCCTTTCTTGGGCCTATACTTCCCAATAACAGTAAATAATTTGGGCCCCGCTGGTTGCTGACCCCAGTGAGGGCCCAGTCCCCAGAGTGCAGATGGTGCAGTTGCCTTAAAAAATATAGTCGGCCAAATAAGCCCTCCTAGAGTCCTGCCTCGACGCATGGAGCACGAAATAATGACCCGATTCGAGAGTTTGATAGCGTTTTTGCTTTTTAGTTGTCACTTGCTAGCAGTGAGTTGCCAGTTGCCACTTGCCAGTTGCCAACTTGCCACTTGCCACTAGCCACTTGCCATTTGCCAACTTGCCAATTGCCAACTTGCCAATTGCCAGCTTGCCCGTTGCCAACTTGCCAGTTGCCACTGTCTTTGTGGTATGATTTATTTTAAAAAACAAAACAAACAAACAAACAGAGTCTAATCTGCCATGAGTAGTGAAGTCGTTGAATGTTTACTCTTCTTGTTTGTCCAGCTGTTTTTAAATTGCCAAGGATATTGAGTGTATGTATGTGTATACTATATAGTGTATACCCCTCCTGTGACCTGTTTGGCAACACATCATACTTCAAAAGTTCAACTTGATACTTATAGAGTCCTAAAGTCGTACTCAGTACATAGTGTATTGGGTATTCTGTGTACCACTATTCCTCTTCTCAGTTATCTATGTATGTATTTTATTTATTTACATAGACTCGTATTGAGAGAGACTTCACTTCTTCTGGCCTGGTAAAAAAAACACGTCGGAAATCGATTCAGACATGTTCGCAATGTATAATGCATGGTTTTGTTTCCGACATGTCGGTATTGTTTACCAGCTCTTCTTGTGTGTTGTTGTGTCGGAGCCCAGACCGCCCCAGAGTCCCAGACTCGAACTGTCAGACTGTCGGTGACTCTCGGTGAATACTTTTAACTCCTTTAGTACTAGCTATCCATCACAAGTATTATCATTGGCCTGTTTTATGTAAATGCTCTTGAATGACTTAACTGCTAGAGGGGTTTTGAATCTTAGAACTGTTTTTAAAATGAGGTGACTCATGACCATTCATGAGTGAGGTGACAAAAAGGTCACACCAAAAAAAGATAAATTTTCATATTTCATCCGGATTCCAGGGCATGTTTTTGTAAAATTTCGGACCGGCTTGCTATTATGAGATGTATTTTTCATATATATAAAAAACCCAAAACAAAACCCAAACAAACAATGTTCAGTTCGAGCTAAAACCCTTTTATAGTTCTCCTATATTTTCTTTTCTTTTCGTATTTGTTTCAAAACTTCAATTGTATGTTTGTTTGATTCTTTGTTAAAAAAAAACTAAAAAAACATTCTAATTTCGATATTGCAAAAGTGAGAGGACAATGATAGAAACAATTTGATTGGCCCACAGGTTTTCGGCCTATCCGACCATAGGATGCGTGCTCTTGACCCAGTATATGTATCACCTCTATAATACATTGATACACAAACCTATCATAACTAAGATTCTACTTTTTCATATCTAACTCTACGAATTTCCTTTTACCTGTGCTAGATATCGCGTGATAGTTATACGTGTAACAGGATGTGTGTATACAACTGTTATATTTGATAATATACTGTACGTACTTGTAGTAATATTTACACCGAGAAACGTGTGTGTCGTTATGGTAGCGTGGCATATAATTCTATAAATGAGAAATGATTGGTTTTTTATGTTATTCAGTCCTTCAATATCAAGAGGGATATATTTACTGTCAGTGGCAGAGTAATGTATGAGTCACTAACAGTACAGAAAAAAACAATTGACCAATGCGAAAATGAAAGTTGACATCTATCGAAAAGGACAACTAAAAATTTGACAACTAACGAGGACCCACTGTATATTTCTTTAAAAAATAGAAATAGCCTGTTAGGCTGTCCGTCTGTCCGCATCGTCTCTTAAATATTCGTTGTTTCCAAAAAAAATAATAGAGGACACTCACCCGACGCGCGAAGGCCGACGAACCTGTATTTACCGTTGTTTAGAGACTGGCTGGCCGAGGCCCGCGAGGGCGACTTCACTCTGAAGTTTACACACAACAAGAGAAGACTAAGTAGAAGAGAGAAGAAAAGTTCAAAGTTCACAACTATTATTTATACAATTTAAAAAAAAATGCAGTTTTACACCTATTTACAGTTTCTACTTTTACACCGTATTGTCCGTTATTAACTTATTCGCTACACAGTCACACACTGTTGTATTTTGACTTTTTTCGAGTAAAAAATAGCTACAGTCAGTAACTCAGTACTAATTTGTTTTTTCACCAAATTTAAAACGACAAGACCAGCGCGTCTCTTCACTCAATAGAGTAGAGAGTAGAGAGTCTATCTCTCTAGCACTCTACTAGTCTAGATGTAGTAGTAGAGATACTCTACAGACACTCTACAGAGAGTCTACACTCTAAATTCGTAAGTCTCGACAGTGAACAGTCTACTCACTCTACTGTATCTACAATTCTACAGTCTGTATCTAAGGCTCTCGAGTCTCGACTCTATTTGAGTCATTTATAGTTTTATACTCGGCTCTATTTAAAAAAAATACTCTCTGAAGTCTGACCACTTCAACAATCAAAATAAAAAGTGTGACTTTGTAATACAGCTCAATCGTCAATGAGATTGAAAAAAAAGCTGTAAAACAATCACGTATTTTTTTTAAAGATAACGAATCTATCCTACCAGATGACTATTGAAATGAGAAGGGATTTAAACTTTTGTTTTTTGGTTTTTTTAAAAGTGCTGCCTTTTATTTTGTAAAAAATAAAGCCCTACCTCTCAGCCTCAGCGGGCTCTGTAAAATGTAAATACATACATAGCCTTAAATCTGTAGTCACTCTAGACCTAGAGTCTGGGACCTATCTACTCTAGGCAGCTACTCTGTAGGGTACCCAGTGCTCCTCTGAGTCCCCAGATTCCCCACTCCCCACTCCCCATTCCCCACTCCCCCAGACCCCCCCTCTCCTGTGTGTGAGTGAGAGTCCCTACTAGTAGTAGAGTTCCCCACTCCCCAGAGCCAGTGAGGGCCTGGCTGACTGGCTGTGATGCTCAGTCCCGAGTCCCGACTCTCCATTCCCCCAGAGTCCCAGTCTCCTAGAGGACCCAGACTGACCCCAGCCCTCATCCCCCGGTCCCCACTCGCTATTGACCTACAAAGTCATCGACTCATCGGTTATCACATAATACTATTGACCTACAAAGTCATCGACTCATCGGTTATCACATAATACTATTGACCTACAAAGTCATCGACTCATCGGTTATCACATAATACTATTGACCTACAAAGTCATCGACTCATCGGTTATCACATAATACAGTATAAAGTTCTAAATAGTAATACAACCAGCCAGCGGCGCCCAGAGCTGGCCGCTGCACATAGGGTTGCGGCGGTGCGTCCAATAACGTTCCAAGAATCCAAGCCTTAGCCCTTAGGCCAGCAAGAGTAGGAGGGCTGAGGGACCCCAGGCTTAGCAGACAGGCCGCAGGACACACAATATTTATAACAACAGAAGATTATTTACAGGACCAGGAATCCAGGTTCATTTTGTTAAAAAAAATCATGATTGTGAAAATTAATATATATTTACTTTAGACTTTTGAGTGTTCAATTTAGAGGGCTAAATATGTTTTGAGTACATATTTACTTCGTGTTTTTTGGGGGGATTTTTTATTATAAAATAACAAACAATATGCATATATAAATACATATATTATTTATAACTGTGCTTCCATTCGGCCTTGTTATGCCTATATATTTAAAAGGCTTTTGTGTGCCGAGTGCTGACTCTTCTTGTGATTTTTTTTTACAAAATACAGTTGAGACTTGGAGAGATTTTTACACCATTTAACTACACGTCCTTTTTTTTTTAAATATATAAACCGATGAGACGAGATATAGTACAGTCGCTCACCTCGCAGTTAAACTTGTTACAACAGTCACTCGCTTCGCAGATAGACTTATTTCTACAGTCACTCGCTTCGCAGACAGACTGATTTCTACAGTCACGCGCTTCACGACTCAATTCTTTTGGCCTACGTATTAAATATCTCGCACAAGTCACGCATCATCATGACCAACGCTTCGTTACATTCATCTCTGCCTCCTTTAGTACCCGTTCGTGGGCCGAAATATTCATCATACGTGAAGAAAAGGCAGGATAAAAAAGCGGTAAGTTTACATCATTACTATTGATGACGTCTTGGTCTGCATTTCGACTTTAAACGATTATAGGTGTCCACGGATCGGAGTTTGATACTATCGTGGAAATTGATCAATATTTGCGGAGAACTCGTGCGTCTTTTTATCAGATAGAGTTTTGAGTTGATCTGTTTATACTTTCTAGTACGGAACGATATAGCAAATCTGTTTGATTCTACGCGACCAGATAGCTTCATTTATATATATATATATATATATGTGTGTGTGTGTGTGTACGTATATATATGTAAATATATATATGTAAATATATATATGTTAAT